CCCCCCATAAAGCCACAGTGAGCTGACTCTTGGCTCTAAGGTGGCTGCATACTCAGTGAGGCCTAACACAGGTTGAGAACAGTGGGACGTAAATGCAGAAGGCACACACAGTGCCTCAGGACACTTACATGGCAGTGTAGAGACATATAAGAGTGTGAAGAGGAAAACAAATAAATAAGACACATGTGGGTTGTGGTGAATGCCAGGAAGGAAATAAACAGGGGCCGAGTGGGCTAGTTTTCACCTGGAGGTCAGGGACGCCTCATGGAAGAGGTGATATTTGTCCTGAGACCTGAAAGTCAGGGGGCAGAGCCTGGAGATAGAGGAGAGCGGAGCAGCCTGGGGCCCTAGAGCCCATGTGCAGCAGAGCAAGGGGCTGGCACAGGAAGAGGCTTGGCCTGTGAAGTCCTGTTCAGAGGCAGACCCCACCAGGCAGACCCAGTCTGTGGGGAGCTGTGACTGCAGAGGCAGAGTCTCTGCCTTGCCACACTGTACCCTTGAGTAAGCGGGGTGACTCCGGTTCCCTGGAAGCCTTTGTCGGCCCCTGGGAGCTGAGTGTTGGAGGGGGGTTCTGTCCCTACTCCTGGCTGGAGAGGCTTGTCCTCAAACACTCCCATAGGCCAGAAGGCTCTGGCACCTCCCAGGCTGCAGGTGGGGAGGAGAGCAGCCCTCCTGGGCTCTCACCACTGGTTACCCTGGTGGGAACCTTCACACCCTCTGGGTGCCCTGGGTGCTGGGGCTGTCCAGGTCCATTTCTGCTCTGTAAAGTCTCATTCACACTTACGTACTGGGAAGAAAATGTGTGGTCCCTCCCAGGGAGAAGTGCATCCTAGCGCCCAGCCAGAGAGGGCTGTGCTTAAGGTAACTGCTGTGGACTGAGGCTTGCCGGGCCAGGCACCACACCCAACACTTAGATACATAGGCAGGCTCATCTGATCTTCATTTATAGTCTGTGAAGTAAACACACTGGCCTCACTGAGGCATATAATACACCCATTTTACAAATTTGGAAATTTGAATCAAGAAGTAACCTGCTTATGGTCAGATAGCAAGTAGGCTGTAGGAGGTAGAGTCTAGATTTAAGTCAGTCTTACTCTAAAGCACT